GACCCAGGGGGGCAATAGAACACTTCCCAGGAATATTGGCCACATGGCCCTCCAAAGTCCTGTGGACAACTTTATCTTTAAGTAACAGTACATTTCTAAGGTATATGTCCACTCCAAACTGCAACCATTCGTTAGAATTCTTTTTAACTAAACTAGACATACCAAGAACGGAACTGATACGACAATCTGGACTGCAAATTTAAACTTTCTAAATTCCCTGGGGATCTCAAGCATGGACCCACAGCACCCCCAAGGGGTGAAAATGAGAATTACCACATCACCACCGTAAGGACATGTGCTTATAAGGAACCCAAGAAACTTCTTGCTTTGTCTGCTTATATTGTCAATTTTATTTTTCATGCATTGGGTCATATTCAGATATTATAGGCAAATATTACCTGTGTTTAACATTTGTAGTGTATCAGGTAACAAGGGTTAAACTCTCGCTTAGAAACATACCTGAATATCCTAGTTGTTTGAAAGTTAAACCAATTTGATGATATAGGAATGTTTCTTTTTCTTTGTTTAAAACTAGCTGAAACAAAGGAGGCAGTGATTCTGGGGAAGGCATTCCTAAAATTATGCACAACCAATCAGAGTTGGAAACAATGGGTAGCTAGTTAACCTTAGGTGAGGAGAACCTTTCAGCACTCTGGCTCCACCTCCAAAGGGTAGGGCCTCCAGCCAAGCAAAACCAGAGTGCACTGCAAATTTCAGCAGTTCAGAGTCCTGTGTTCTCAACAAGAGGATGGCTAAATTTCTAAGTTTGTGCTGGCCTTGGTCAGAAAGACAGGTCAGAAGTATTGGAACGCTACATTTTCAGATCTGAAACCTTTGTTTGTTTTGTAACTTGCCTGTTCATCTACACACCTTCGATCGAGTCCATCCTGAGACGACCCCGCCTGAAGTCAGCCCCTGACTCCAACGTAAGCTGGTTCCATTCATTTGCAGTCAGGGCCCTGACGCCAATTTATTTAATAAGAGAACTTTTAATAGGTACATCCAGCCATATAGTTATTCCCGTCCCTATTTGGTTTAATTCTCTAGAGGCTCTCCCAAGTGACTTCCCAAACCACACTGCCTCATACCATTTAGCCGTGAATCACTCTAACTTACTCGAGCTATTTTGTCTTTCATTACTATCACTTTGATTTGTTTTGTTTTCTGGTTTTATTTTCTATTGTTTATCATTGAATGTAGTCCAAAAGTAGTTTGATATTTAGCCAATAAATTCCCTTTTACTGAAGCATCCTTGGTGCGAGCGTTTCTCTCTCTTGCCCTGGTCTGTAGACTTCAAATAAATCCGGGTTACTCCACACCCTTATATAAGGTTCTAGCAATAATGACATTAAAAATTGCAAAACCCATTACACAGTTATTAGAGTTAATATAAAGTGGGACCCAACTGTGTTTACTATAGTCTTTTTTAGAATTTTGAAAAATTAAGAAATAAAACCTTTTAAATTTCACTAATGTGTCTGTGCTTTTGTAATTATTTTTGAATTAAATGTTTATACCTCACATTATAAAAAAGGTTTATATAGGAGTATAGTTTATTTATGATATAATAACAAAATACCAACTGCTTTATTTGAAGCACTCAGTGATGGCAATTTAAAAATCTATAATGTTTGGGGTTTTTTTTTATAATTCTTAATATGGATTATAGGCACTTTACATTCATATACAGGTCATTACAGTTAATAGTGACACTTGTATTACAACATGCTTATGAAGCATTATTAGAGTTGTTATAAGTTGTTATAACATTAGAGTTTATAACTTGGTAACATTGTTTTCATACAAAAAAAAAGATTATTTATAACTTCATTTATATACAGACTTCATAGAAAGTGTCACCAAAATATGTTACTACAGCACAGAATTCACAACTTTTTTAAACACAAGCTTTCTCAGCACACCAAAATGCCTGAGCCTATCACAGTCCAATATCCTAAATTATGTTAATGAGAGGGAGTGAAAGGCACTAACATAAGGTGGTATGAGGCCAGTGCACGATCTCCAAGCACCATCCACAGCTGTAGGAAGTGGTATGAGCCCCCATGGCCCATGTCAAACTTGCATCAGTTAGCTCTCGTTAAGGGCAGCATGCCCACCTGAGCTGAGAGGGAGAGCCAATTTTTTGCCCCCCGACCCCCAATACCTCAGCCTTCAAGTCCCATGGCAACACCAACTGGTCGAGTGTGGGGCATGATACTGCGGCTGCTCTGCTAAACATTAGCAATGGAAGCTAGAGTTAGCTTAGCAAAAAGGCCTAAACAGCTTTACACTGAAGCCTCACTGAGGCAAACACACAGAATAAAGACTCTTAGTGGATAAATCTATGTTACAGTTACCATAGGAGCATTGTTTCTCCTCATCTGTTCAAATATAGGCACATTGTGCAGGGCAGTGGGAGAAGGGGTGGGGTTTAGAAACAAGGCAAGCAGCAAGGGGGCATTTACAATGTGTGTGATCGATCATATTCATAGATCTTCAAATTCTTAATGAGTGTTGAGGTTTAAAGATGTTTCTATGCCATTTTAATAGTTCCACAGGCAGTATATATTCATTTGTTATTCAACAAATTATTTTCTTGTGTTTTAATTTATGACTTTAGAGGTACTTTAAAAAGTGCTTATATAATGTACACTGATCAGGCATAACATTATGACCACCTCCTTGTTTCTACGCTCATTGTCCATTTTATTAGCTCCACTTTGTAGGTCTACAATTAGAGACTGCAGTCCATCTGTTTCTCTGCATACTTTGTTAGCCCCCGTTTACCCTGTTCTTCAGTGGTCAGGACCCCCATGGACCCTCACAGAGCAGGTATTCTTTGGGTGGTGGATCATTCTCAGCACTGCAGTAACACTGACGTGGTGGTGGTGTGTTAGTGTGTGTTGTGCTGGTATGAGTAGATCAGACACAGCAGTGTTGCTGGATCGCATAATGTACATATTTAGTGCCTTACTAACCAATCATCATGCCCCTCTAAACATACCACACTTTATATACACTCTTATAGTATCATGCTGGAAAAAACAGAAAAACAACAAAACAGAAGTGAAAGCAAACTTTGTGTGATGCTCCTAGATAAATGTGTCTGGTATGAAAAATGATATTGATTAACACAGGAGGATTCACATGCATCACTTTGTACTATCAATATTTTATGAACGTGCTGCATGTTGTGAGCAGATACATCAGCAGTTAGATTTCCTTAGTTGTAAGTATTATTGTGGAAGACTTGTAATTTTTTGGTGTTATTGAAATTGGATACTTGCATTTTTGCACCTTGATTTTTAGTTTTCTGCACCATTTGGCCTTTACATTGTGTGAAAAATTTCATGATGATTGGAGCAATAGAAATGCTCCAAAATGCCTAGGAATAAAATCACTTTACATTAATTTAGATAAAAAGTAAAAAACAAGGTTTTGCCCTCTCCTGTTAACTTGTTTTTGATACTTGTTTTTCTTTCAACAGCAGCAACATTCACTGATTTTTCAGTTGTGAGCTTCCTCTTAAACTGTAGATCAGAGATATCAGCTATGGGCTAAGATGTGCTAATGTGAAAATGATCTTATTTGCCACCTGCGCTGTACACTGGACTTGACTTTTTGCTTAAATTTTCTTTTGTTTAACATGCTATTCTCTTCCACTAAGCAAACATTTTTGCCCCTTTAAATAAAACAGTACAAACTACATACTCACTTGCTAATGCATATTACTGGCCAGTTGAACATTGTATGCATTCAAGTCTCTGCGCCTCTTGTTTTAAAATGAATAGTGTCTTTTTTGATGATCTCTAAATGCTTGGTTTGGAGCTGTCCTAAACCTGTGTAAAAATTTGGTTGCATATGATAAAATAAAACAGACTTTCAAACTTCATTGCTGTCATCTGTTGGCTGCCCCTGGATCTGTCCTGACTTCAAAATGCTCAGTAGTGTTATTTTAAAATTTTACAGTGAGAGAGACTGCAGGTTGCATCACATTTATTTGTTCTGTATGGCAATAGAACAATGTGATAAACTATCTACACTATTGAAGCAATGCCGTTTGATACTAATATTAAAAAGACACATTTTGAGTGTATAGGTTTATCAAAAACTTAATGGAATTTTAATAAAACCAAGAGGTTTCTTGGTTAGCTAGCTGCTATCATCACATATTTTTGCACAAGTTGGCTTTTGGAGTAAGTCATTTTTATATACTGAGAAAATGTCAGCCCTGACCATGCCAAAATGCCACACCACAGATTTTAAGAATAATATTATTTATTAGCATATAAATCAAACAGAATTGAATAACAATATATATATATATATATATATATATATATATATATATATATATATATATATATATATATATATATATATACACACACACACACACACACACACGTGTGTGTGCAAATATATAATTAATGAAACAAATAGCTATAAAATATGTAGAAGAAAGGATATAAAAGAAAAGAACAAACATAACTTATGTACTATATATAAATAAATTGTTAATATATAAACTCAAACTTCATTTTCTCCTACTGCATATTCTTATAGAAGGTATCAGACATGTTCTACGGAGAAATGCAACAGTAGTTTCATTTGTATGAAATACTCCATTCAAGTTTTAGGGAATGAAAGGACACACTGCAACAATAAAAAAATCAGCTTAAGATCTTGGCTATTGATATTTTTCAGTTGTTCTCCTTAGGCTCCAGTTATTATTCTATTGCTTGAATAAGCTGGCCAAGATAGAATGGTAATGATAATTTAAAAGCAAATATTTTTCAAACAACACAGCTTACTATAATGTTATACTAATAATGTAATCAGCAGTTTTACAGCAGGATCAGTTTTACTTTCCTAATCCCAAACTCAGTTCACCATAGAATGTGCCCTTACACCCAAGACTGAATATCCAAGGCTATACTATATAAAACCTGAAACCATTAACTTTAAAAAATGATGCAATAATATGCTCAATAAAATTCAATATCTTTCACTTCAGTGTTGAATGATCCATTTTTTTTTAGTATGTGGTCTACAGGCAGCTGAAAGAGCTTGCCACCACTTCTTATACAGCTGCCTCACCTGAAAGTAGAGAGAGGATTGTTGTTGCATATGTTGTTCACATGTGAGTAAAGAGTTATTAGAGACATTTAATATAAAGTGGGACCCACTCTTCTACAATGTTCTCCCTCATTCATTCATACAGTCCTACAATTTTTTCTACAATCACCGTGAGCGGCCCCCTCATTTACACTGGGTTCATTTGCTTCATCTGTTATTTTGATTTTCTTGGACAATTGTAAACATTAAAATGTTGGGGCGGTGAGATTGGCCCTAAGATACAGCAGTTGAAGACTGACCTCTTGGTTGAAGGCACAATGGATGAAGAAGATGAAGGTGCCCTGCTGGGAGTTGAAGAACAGGAACACCACCTTCAACATCTTATTGTAGTCTGTGAAGAAACCCAGAATCCAGGAGGAGCCAACAATGTAAAACTGGACCATGGTTTTCAGGATCACACTTTTGACGAGGTGCTGCTCATTTTTAGCCTTTTTTATTTTCGTAATTTCACTTTTCATACTTTTCAGAGTGGAGATTATGATGACTAAGATGCTGACGAAGAGAATCATGTTTGCCTGGGAAAAAGAGATTATATTACATTATGTTATATAAGAATTTTTCAGAATCAAATGCCCGTGTTAATATTGGAAATCTCATAGGGACAGTAACAGAATTCACAGAATTAGTACTATGCTGACAAATGTAATGAGAAAACAAAAGCCACTCACAAAGGAAACTACAAGTTTTCTGAATTCAGAATGTGTAATTACTGTCATAAAACAATAGCTAAATATAGTAGCAATATGGGGATATTTATGAACACCCAACAGTTTTTTTTTAGGCTTGAACCAACTGAGAATACTATTGTAAACAGCTGAACTACAAATTAAATGTCTGGGTAACAATAAAACACTGTAGCAGAGTTTAGTAATTAGTAGTAATTAGAAGATTTAATTTAACTCCAAAAGACAAATACATGAAATACCCAAGAAAACAAACTGAGCAAAAAGGAAAATAGAACACAGAGGCCTAAGAGTAAACAAATGAAGGCTAGGCTAGACTAGGCAAAGCTAAGCTAATAACAAAATGAGTAAAACAATGCACGGGCAGAAGGGAAGCTAACAATAAGGAAAAGCTAATGCTAACGGCTAATGCTAAACATTGAACTAGACTGAGATAGAGGCTGTGTTTCACCCATGTGTCTTCTCACAGGAGTTCTAATAACTAAGACAACCATCAAATTATTTTATCATTAAATTATTCAAATTTCCTTCAGACAATGAGAACATTTTCTACAGTTAATTACTGTCTACTTTGTGTTAGTCATCAAATGTATTTTATTTGGAGACTAATTTATCTGTTGGACTAGTGCCCTTCATATTGGAATTATTTTTATTTTTAATATTTTCTTATACATCAATTGATAGTGGTAATTTTCCTACAACTTCTACAGCATGTTCGTGTCTAGGTACTGCACTGTGTCTCTGTCGGCTTAAAAGCTAAAACCAGTTTTTCAAGTGTAATTTAGTTAGACTGTTTTGGTCTTGGTATAATTTTACACAGCACTTAGAGACTATAGCCCACAGTTACTGTCCCCTATAAATATCTAGGAAATTATTTAGTTAAATTATTTGTAAAGTGTGTTCCTATATATATATATATATATATATATATATATATATATATATATATATATATATATATACACACATACACACACACACACTACTTTGGAGTTTGTACAGTTACAAGAAAGTGTTACATTGTCTTGCAAGTGTTATTGACATTTATTTTTAGAGTGACTTGCCTGCCACTACTGTGTCACTGTCCATTCTACTATACTATCCATCAGCAAAGGGGGGTATGAGTAATGCCAATCTTTAATAAATTGTTCACTTTATAACAAATCTGGAGAATTTCTGAGATAAATATGAAGCTCTCTGAAATTGAATTTATTTAGCCTCTAAACAGGAACTGTAGGCCCATTACAGCACTGCCTTAAAAGCAATCTAGATTCAATAAAGCATGTAAAACATACCAAGACTCAAAGACAAGCTTTGAAGATCAAAAAAGCTAATCTGACTATGTGTGTGTATATAATTCCACCCATTTACCAAAAAAAGGAATTTAATTAGATCTTGTGCAACAGATGTGCATAAACACTTTAACAGTAGGCAAGAGGGACACATCAATGCCTCACAATAATAGAAAAACTATCAAGGAACTTGAGCAAAATTTTAATTTAAGGGTACCATATCATGCAAAAAAGGAAAACAAAGTGGAGATCCTCAAAATATTCATCCTGGAATGATTTGTTTCAAGAGTGTAGTACTTACTGCAAGAATGGCACAAACAGGTCCCAGAAAACTCCACAAAAAGCCATTGTCTGTCTTAAGCCAGCACCTAAAAAGAAACACAAACCATAAACACACAAAACAAAATAATATACAAAAGTTTTGGTACTATGTTAAAGGAAGACTACCTTTATAAGTGTCTATGAATGGTTTCAAAATAGTTTACAATCATAAATACCTAATTAATCATTAATAAGCAGTTATTATTAATAACTAACACATTCATAAAAAAAAAAGGTAAATTGAGCTGTTACATCTAATGAAGATGGATATGTGATGAAGCTGACAGCTTTAATGCTAACTGATAAAGAAAACAAAGTAAGGTCAGTAAACACCAAAATCTGAGGTTTAACTGTATAAATGAATGTTTTTATAGGCAAACAAAAGGTCACTGTTGCCTTTTTTATTTCTGTGTGTTGTAAATGTTTAAGGTCTTTAAGACCTAATCAGTGACCATTAATGAACTCGTTTAAACTGTTTATGAACCGTTATAAAGGTAGTCTTACTTTAAAGTGGTACCAAAGTTTTGAATGAATGAATCCAACACATACACAGCCGCAGTAAGATTTAATCCAGATATTTTACATATCATGAGTTCCCCACACCCCTATTTAATGAACTCTCAACACTCACTGTTCACTGCCATATCCATCAGAAAACAGTCCAACAGACACGCCTACTATAATGAGAGGAATGACGTATCCAATCACAATCAGAAATTTCCAGCTAAGCACCTCCTTCTGCTTTGATCTGATCTTTGTGAGGTTCTTCACTGAGATGAAGAGCAACACAGCTTGAATGAACATCCACACAAAAGCAGAGAGAAAGAGGAAGTGCAGAACACCTGCCAGCACTGCACATAACAACTGGAGAGAGAGAGAGAGAGAGAGAGAGAGAGAGAGAGAGAGAGAGAGAGAGAGAGAGAGAGAGGGCACAGAAAATAAACACATGTTCGGATATTTTCAGTCTGTTTTATACCATTCCATCATGTTATACACTGTTACCATGGTTCACCTACAGTAAATAGCAATCATCCATTCACTGGAGACACAGTATTAGTTAAACTCACCAATACTAAATGCAAACACTACCATTCATATGTTTTAGGCACTTAAAATAAATTTTAAAAGCTATTTATCTGACCAAGTGTCAATTTACTCCGAACTAACGTTAGAATAAATTCAAACAACATTAATACACTAAGAACTGAAACTGAAATGCTGGAATAAACAAGGCCTTCCCTGAAAAAGATGTCATCTGGATGGCAGCAAATGTTGCCAAAACATGTATGTATCGTTCAGCCCGATATTACTTGTAGTTACCATGCAGTACCTGGTTAGGTTCAGTATTTTGTTCAGTTAAATCAAGTGTGCTGGTGATGAAATTTGACAAACAACTTTTTTTCTTCAAACTAACTCACAAGATATACTTTTTTGAAAAGAAGACATTCTTGTTACTTTTTTACTGAATTAATATTTATGTGCATGTATTCTAATGATGTATGGTGTTTTTACAGGTGCAAAAACATATATTACTAAAACAACTGGCTTTTAGGAATGAGCTTAGATGCCAAGGAATACTGTATAGCAGTTCTTAACAGCTGAAGGAGCAGGGAATTGTGTATTAAGATAATTATACTCACATGCTGAGGTTGTATGTACTGCAGGAATATCTGTGTGAGCAGAAAGAGGAGGTGAGCCAGTAACAGGCTTATGCACAGGTTGGTCAGAGCTGTGTTGGTCACTCTGGGGTTCCGCCGACAAATGGCAAAAGTCAACAGGGTCAAGCTCAGGAAGAGAAGCCCCACTGCCACAGCTATGATGTTAATCAGGTCCATCACAGGATCACTCTGGGAAATGATATTTCATGGCACTTTTTACTTGTTTGGAACAGATGATCAGGATTAAAACAGTTGTGCACTGATTTAGCTCATGTGGGTCATTAGAGAGTGATGATTGTCTTTAGTACACTTTAGTACAGTACGCTTCACTTTACTTAGAGCGGACAAATACAACTTATGAGCTCTTATAATTTGTTATGAACAGTACTTATAATGTATTATGTTAATAATTCATAATGCATAATAAGCACGTGTAATGTATTTTTATAAATATTTATAGCCATGTTAATAATGCCTTATGAATGCATTATAACATGTTATGAATGTGTTTATAGATACTTACAAAGGTGACATTCATAGAAAGTGTTACCATATTTACAGTAAGGGAAGTATTTAACTCAATGAAGATGAATGAATTCAGAACCATCAGCCAACTGTGTTTGCACACTGTGGAATTAGACCTCTGCATTTAACCCATCCATTCAGTGAAACACCCACATACATGCACACTAGTGAACACACACACTAGGGGACAGTGAGCACACTTGCCCAGAGTGGTGGGCAGCCCTATCCACAGCGCCCGGGGAGCAATTGGGGGTTAGGTGCCTTGCTCATGGGCACTTCAGTCATGGACTGTCAGATGATGGGATCGAAATGGCAACCTTCTGGTCACAGGGCTGGTTCCCTAACCTCCAGCCCATGGCTGAAAGCTACACAGCTCAAGAAATTGTAGTATTTCATTCCATTAAAAAGTGTGAAATATGTTGAATAACACAGGAAAAAGTATTAAACATACTACCTGAAATGCATTTAATACTCGGTGGAGAAGCCTTTGTTTACAATGACAGCTTTTTCTTAACCTCCTATATAAATAAACTAATCTCTCACAGTGTTGAAGTGGGATTTTGGCCCATTCTTCTACACAGGCAGTCTGTAGATGTTGTAGATTCTGGGGGGCCTGCTGGTGAATTTAGATCTCTAGTTCATTCCATAAATTTCAACTGAGAGTTTCATTGCAGTATGGTAGTAGTTTTGGATTGCTGTCCTGCTGGAAGGTCCACCTACAGCTCATCTTCATAATCCCCTTGGATGGTGACAGATTCTTCTCCAGAATTTCCCACTTCATGGCTCTGTTCATCCTCTTTTTGATTTGGATTCTGTCTGTACCATGAGGAAAAAAAAATAGCCCCATACCATGATGTTTCCACCTCTGAACTTCACTTTAGGTATGGTATGTTTAGGGTCTTATGGAGCCATGTCTCCTTCAAACATGGCATGGCCTATTACTTCTAAAAAGTTTCATTTTTTGTCTCGTCTTAACGCACAAAATTCTCCCAGTGTTACGTCCATATAGGACGTATGTTTTGTTTTGCTTGTTTCCCTTTCGTTCTTTCTCTCTCTCTCATTCTCTCGCTTATTAGGAACCCTCCCACTTGTGCGTGTGATTGGCTGGAGTCCCGTAACGAAATTTCATCTGATTGGCTGGCTGAAATTGCATGGCGTATATCTTCGACGGCTGCGCCAGATGTTATCGAGGCTTTCCTCCATGGCGGCTTGGGGCGATTGTTTTTAGATCCGAACCTCAGCGCAGCTTGTTTGTTTTATTGCTAGCGATTGTCTACTCTCCTCTCAAATGAAATAGCTTAGCTTTACCTCTTGTTCTATACCCAGTTATCTCTGCAGTTAAACTGTAAGCTCATGATCTGTCTCTGTAAATGTTCACTCTTATGCCGACCAGGTTGTAGGAGTGGGTGCCATTTCTTTTGATCTTGTTTTCTCCTGTTTTTGGTATAGTTAGGGAGTTAGGAAAGACTGACTGTACTTTTGTTTCTTTATGTTTGCATAGGTAAGTTAGTTATCTAACATTTCTAGCTAGGCTTGTTATGTTTATTGTTTTGGCGCTTGCCCACTCTGACGTTCTCCTGTGTCGTATACACAAAAGAGCAGCATAAAAAGAAAATAACACGATTTGACCTGTTTAAACGTCAACTGGCTCTCTTTTGTCTTTTTTATGTTATGATCATCTCAAACCCCTAGACAGGTCGTAACACCCAGCAATCTGCAGACATCTCCAAATGTTCTATAGCAAACTTTAAATGATCTTCGACAAGGCTTTTCTTCAGTAATGGAGTCTTTGAGGATGGAAACCGTGATGATGGAATGCAGTACCTCTTGTTTTCTCTGATAACTGTACTCATTGATTGAGGTGTTTTTGAAGGTCTTTGAGTGGTCCTTGGCTCTTGGCCTACTCTTCTGACTAAATTTCCAACTGACAGGAAATCATGCGAGGAGCTCTTGTGTGTGGCCGAGTGGTTGAGCGATGATCCTTCTACTAGTGGATAATGGCCACAGTGGTGCATAGAGGAACATTTAGGAGTTGAGGAATCCATTGGTAACCAGTGCCATTGCTCAACTATCTTGTTGGAAAGGTCTTAAGAGAGCTTTTTGCTTCTACCCATCATGAGATGTTTCTTGCATGACAGCTTGGTGACAAATGATTTGTTTACTTGCATTGAGAGGTTTTTTCAAAAAGTGGAAGTTTTAACTGACCAGTCTCTACTACCTCAGGTCTTTCTACATAATTAGCACAGGTAGGACAACTAATTATTGGAATTCAGTACTTTTTCTTACTGCGTTCTGTGTTCACTTTTTTCCAGTGTCATTCAATTTGCACATAACTTTTACGGATTGGAATGTTATGATTTCTGTGGCTGCTTAGTTTTATTATCATTGTAAATGTGTTTAATAATTTTTTGGCAAGATGAATACTTATTTTCTCCACTGTATAATTTAAATAGTGAAACTTAAGAGGTTAGTTAAGTAACACCAAAGCAAAGAGAGCACAAACATTCTCTTGGCTTAAATTTATAATTTGTATGCTAAAAGTTTTTACTAAATAAACACAAACTCAGTAAATTTTAAATAAACCACAAACTAACATTTTGGAAAGCTAATTGTACAGTGGATAGTTTATTTAGTTTTGGTACACTGAGAAACATTGGCTTTGCATCATTTTTAAGCAATTTTTATTTTATTTTATTGCTCCCTTTTTCACCAGTTAGTTCCCCTCGTAGCTATTTCATGTAGTGTAATTCCTCTGTACGTCTTTTGGCACCCTTTTTCATTTTTGATTAATCTTACATCATCTCCTGTGGGTGGGTTGAGCTGCATGATGAGAGCGAAGGTTGATAGATGAAAACAGGAGCACACAGAGTGGCTAATGTTGGTCTGGAGAAGATAACAGCCATCGACAATCCATTCAGAGTGATTCCAGTAGACACAGAAGAGGGTACTGTTAGGGGGAAGTTCCTAGCCAAAAGAGAAGGAAAATGAGACCACTGTGTAATAGTCAAAACAAAACAGTACTAGAGGGAACACCCCTGCTGTAGCAACAGACTGAAATTTAGTGATGATATTTCAGCATTGATGTGTATCTTTATCAGGCTGATTTCAGCAGAAAATGCTAGATAAAATGAATTCAATCTATCCCGAAATAGCACTCACTCACACTGTGGGATGTGATTTTGTAATGTAATGATGTTATACATTTAATGGATAGTGTACCAAACTGGAACCCTGGAACCCATGGACCCTCACAAAGCAGGTACTATTTAGATGGTGGATTATTCTCAACACTGCAGTAACACTGACGTGGTGGTGGTGTGTTAGAGTATTTTGTGCTGGTACGAGTGGATCAGACACAGCAGTGCTGCTGGAGTTTTTAGACACTGTGTCCACTCACTGTCCACTCTATTAGACGCACCTGTTGTTGGTCACATGTGCAATTTGCAATTTGCACACTGGCTTCATCAGCCCAATCAGAGGCAATATTTTGGTTATTTGGCCAAATGCTAGCAAGTAGCAAGCAGTTACCAGCTTTAAACGTCTTGACCACAGTGCACCTTTTCAGAGAATTATGGGGCCAATCTAGTGCATACCAGATACTGTGTTATGATCACCAGTCACCAGATACATCACTTCAAAGGCACTTTGAGTTTATATTCATTATTTATTTTTATTAACACCTGATTCTATGCAGTGAGCACCTCATCATCATGTGTGCACCCGATACTATGTAGTAGGCACCCAATATTATCAGGTGAGAACCAGATACTAAGCGGTGAGCACCCAATACTATGGGGTAAGTACCTGATACTATCAGGTGAGCACCCGATACTATGTGGTGAGCACCAGATGCTATCTGGGGAGCACCAGATACTATCAGGGAAGCACCAGATACTATCGATAAAAAAAATTACTATATCTGTATCCGGTGCTCACCTGAAAGTAACTGGTGCTCACCACATAGAATTGGTGCACAACTGACAACATCTGGTGCTCACCACATAGGAGTAGGTGCTCACCTGATAATATAAAAATGCACCATACGTTATTGCACATAAACCAAATTGCCATTTTCTGTGAAAGAAGGCAATTTTTGGCCATGTTGAGTGAAAAAAACCTACCAGACTATCTGACCATATCCATAGCCAAAGGTTTGGCTGCAAGTTAGAACAGTTTCAACCACAGATTCGCTGTTTATGCATAAACAGTGTATCTAATGTATGTACCCAAACAACAAAAAGACAAGGAATTCTGTAAGAGTAACATTTAGTATGAAGTTTTGTCCAATTTCAAAATTTGTGTAGCGTACTAAATTCCACAAGTGAATATAATATAGGAAAACAAAAAATCCATCAATATCAAATACACACACACACATACATACATACATACATACACACACATATATATACATATATATATATATATATAATTATATATATATATATATATATATATATATATATAAAACTCACATTTATATGTTTTATGGTGAAGTTGACTGGTGTGGGGAGCTGTGTGTTGATGGTTTTGGGTAGTGTTGCTGACACCACAGTGGACATCATGATTTTCACTGTTTTCTTGTTTGGGTTGAAGAGCTTGGGACTCAGCATGTCCACCATATTGGTATAGCTCATGAAGGCCACAGCAGCTGATCCTGAAACACAGTTACAGATCAGACTTAAGTGCTGAGGTTTCAAGAAGAAAGCTTAAGGTGGTCCCCATGCCCCCTCCGTCACACTCTTCACATAATTGTGTAATACTGGACAGTATATCTTCCTCCCGGCTATCATTCCATGTACATTTTTCTTTTTCAATGATTACCTTATGATAACCTAATGAATAATATTTGTGAATCTGTGGATGATGAATCCTCAGCGGTTGGACCTTGTGATCTCTCAGAATATCAAATGCCTTATGATGGGCAACAGTGGTGTTGAATTTTCCTTGTTTCTACATGATATGCCTGACAGTGCATTGGTTCAAACTTCAAAGTCCAAATTCTGCAAAATTGTTTTGTAACTGCTTCCAGCCTGATCTATTTTCTGAGACCCTCAGAAATCTCTTTTTGCCAATACAGGCATTGCAATAGATCACTTTGATTAGTAAATGAATAAAAAACTGTGTCATTTATTGAGTTCCCTTGATTTATTATTATGCCTTGAATGAAGATCTAATCATATTTTAGGTCAAACTTCTGCAGAAATTCACAGAATGCTACAGGGTTCAAAACCTATCAGGCTTTTAAGGGGGATAGATTAGATGTATAGAATATATAGTTTGCTATATACATCCCAACCCTGATTATACATGTGTAAATGCACCCTACGACTTGGTAGCTTGATTGTTCCTTGTATTTTTTACACCATTTACCATTCACTGTTCCACAAAACAATACATTATACAGAAACATATATATTTGTGTTCCTAGCATTTACAGATATATTACACTTAAAAAACATGTAAGCGTTACAATTTATTTGTATTTAAAACAAAAGTTATTTTAACAATTACACTTTCTTGAGCTGTCAATTTAGCAATATTGGTTTTTAAATCAATTATCTAGAATTCCAAGCACCACAGAAGTGCTTGTCCCCACAGTCACGTGTAAAGAGTGAGGCCATATTTTGAAGAAAAAACAACTTTTTCTGCCATTTTAACTACAATAATCTATACATGGATATGGAATTTATAAATTAAATGACAAAGAAAACAAAAGACAAATAAATATTATAAATTATATAATGACAGTTGTGGTCCCCAGGAGTCGTGTCACTGGTGTTACCGCAGTAACAAAAAATCTCTTATTTTGAAATAGAAAGTCACACTGATGACATCACTTGACTTCTTTTTACCTATTTTTCTGAGGATCTATGAAAAAAGCACATGGTGAGTCCACTGTGTCTTTTCAGTTATTAGAAATTTTCTCATTTAGCTTATGATTTCATATGAAGATTTTAGCTGAAGTCACCTACTTTAGGTGTGACCTACTTTATACTTAGGTAATTGGGAAAACATAGAATACAAATGAATTAAATTACATATTTTAGTGGATATTCCATGATTGACAACATGTGGTTTGATGCTCTGTAGCAGCCATTTTGTTAAAATCATTTTTCATTAAAAATGTCTCTGGTGTTACCTTTCTTAGGTGTAACACCAATGAAGATAGGTAACACCAGTGACACCTATGGATTGATAGAAAAATGGACGTTTCTGTACAATGACCCAATTACCTGATGTGCACTGACAAAATTCAAAGCTTTCTTCAAACATGTAATTCACTTTAGGACAGGAATTTATCTTTACATTCTAAATAGATTCTGGATTGAAGCAACTGGCCACTGCTGTGGCAGCAGACAAGAGCAAACATTCAAAGATTGCTACGATACCATTGTTGTTTTGGGAAATGCCAATAAGATCGATGTCCATCTGTGTGTTGTTTATGCTGAGCATAGGGTTTTCTTTCAAGAAGGCTCTTGGTCCAACTGCAAAGACTTGGATTTCTGAAAGATATAAAGGGGTTTCAGTTGTCTGATTGACATGCTGCACCGATGTTTTCTCTTTCTGCAAGTGTTTTATTAAAAGTAATGTAAAAGGATGAAAAGTGATTGTAATTGACCATAGAAATGGTCTGGTTTTACCGCTAGATTGCTTACTTATGTAGTCACTCACCCAAGTCATTTAGAGAGATCTTAACTGAGTCAGTGGTTTCTGTTGGTTTCACCAATGTAGACACCAATGTTTCAGTCTTGTTCAGCACTGTGTTGCCACTAGATACAGGCTGATCTGCATTCATTACTTCAACATTCAGAACCTGCTCCTGTAGCACCTTTTTTACAATCTGATCAATAAACCAAGGACAGAAAATTAGATTACAAAATGATAGACATTAACATAAATTAATACATACAGTAGGAACACTGTAAGAACTTTCTTTGGACTTCAATCACAGTACTTACTTCTGGGGAGAGCACTGGATTAGTGCTGTTCCTAATTTGATTAAATATATTATCTGCACATTCTGCTGAGATGTTTCCCTAAAACAAGAAGTCAAAAGTCTCAAAAACTGTATATATTAAGTGATTCTTAAAGATTTTGCTGACGGTGTATTAGTCAGAAATATGAGGAGTCATAATCATCAGGCCTCATGTGCGATGAACTCATCACAAACCTGGCAGTCTGGAGACACAGTGATAGTCTGAACTGAAAGAGAAGGATCATTGCTGAAGGTTAGTGGTTTGTGTAAAATGAAAACTGTATCCTCTCCATTTTACTTCATAGCAATAAACATGTCTAAGCTGAAATATAACTGTATTGCCACTTATGATACCAGGACAGTGTCAATTATTGATATCCACCTTAATTCAGTGATTTGTGAACCTTTCTTTACAGTTGCCATAGCGAATGATATTGATATAAATGACATTGAAAATATCTGAAACCATTGCAGGCAGAAGTACACTGATCAGGCATAATATTATGACCACTTCCTTCCGTTCATTGTCCATGGGGGTTTTAAATACTGTGTCCACTCACTGTCCACTCTATTAGACACTCCTACCTTCTCAGTCCACCTTGTAGATCATCTGCTGCTGCACAGTTTGTGTTGGTCATCCTCTAGTCCTTCATCAGTGGTCACAGGACGCTGCCCGCAGGACGCTGTTGGCTGGATATTTTTGGTTGGTGGACTATTCTCAGTCCAGCAGTGACACTGAGGTGTTTAAAAGCTTTAGCAGCCCTGCTGTGTCTGATCCACTCAGACCAGCACAACACATACTAATACACCAGCACCCCATCAGAATGATCCACCACCCAAATAGTACCTGCTCTGTGAGGGTCTATGGGGTCCTGACCACTGAAGAACAGGGTAAAAGGGGACTAACAAAGTATGCAGAGAAACAGATGGACTACAGTCTGTAACTGTAGAACTACAAAGTGCACCTATATAGTAAGTGGAGCTGATAAAATGGACAATGAGTGTAGAAACAAGGAGGTGGTCACAATGTTATGCCTGATTGGTGTATATCCTAACAAGGAATCCAGGGCCTTTGGAAGCCCAAACACATAGCATTTTACTGCAATACATTACAGTTTGGAAGGTTATTTTTTTAACGACCATCTCTCGTTTTGCGTCAAATGTTTATGTGGTACCAATGGAATAAACACGTTTACTATAGTCAACCTTAACTGAAGGTTAGATTTAAGGTTACGGTGTTCCTTTTGAATTTTACATTACTTTTTAATTTTAAAGTTTCAAGTTACTTTAAGAAAGGAGAAATTTATGGAGGTTTAATACTTCTGAAATGAGCTGTATGAAGTTGTATATAAATTTGAGCATTCATGTCAACTTAAAAATCTTATTTTTCTGCTGATTTTAGTGCACAAATTCTAGTGATTTTATTTCATTTGTATGTTATTTTTCTCAAAATATTAGACTTATTAAATAATCAGCAATTGTGTATTTAAATGTGCAAAGTGTGTTCTCTGTAAATGATGTGTTCACTTACTTTCATTTAGTAAATCAATCAAACACAAAAAAATCAATCTTAGTTTTGGCTGAGTTTTTACAAAAGAAAAGTGCATTTTTTTCCATTTTCAATGCAAATCAAATACTTAAAATGTTAAAGTATTAGGAGGCATAATCTTGCTTTTATGCTAGCTGGCAAGCACTGAAGCTAATCAGCCAGTTTAAACATAGCTAATACATTTGGTTTTGGCTACGTTTAAACATACCCTCCTTTATTCAATTAAAACAGGTGTATTTCTGGAGGTGTTTATTAATGGTAAAACTGTCATGTAAATACAATATATTTCAACTTAGATGTCCCTAAACCAAAAGTCAATGTCAGATTCAACAAAATAAGAGCATGTATGATATTATTTAGTATTAACTATGATTATGCTAAACTTTCTATGAAGTGTTGATGGTAAACCTGCATCCAAAACCACAACAAATAATGTACTGTACTACTGTGAACCTACTTGGAGCCAGTTTAATGGTCGTGGATGCTGTTGTTGTAGAAAATGGGGTGGTGCTCACATCTAAATAGAGGAAAAAAATGAAGTGAAAAAAAAAAACATTGCTTGGTAGATAATGCTAACAAAAAATGAAACATTCTAGGTAGGCATTTGACTCCTACACTCCCTGCTAAGTTTGACAGCTAATCAGCAAATTTAAACATAGATAACACATTTGGTTTTGGCTACATTTAAACATAACCCCCTTTATAAATTCAAAGCAGGTGTATTTATGCACATTACATGCAATAATTCATGAAAAAAGTGAGAGTGGACTGGCACGGTGCTCACATCAGAAAAGAAATTACAAATCAAAGGTATTAATAAACCCAGTTGAGTTTGAAGCATGAGTTTGCTTGGTGGATAATGCTAACATTAGTAGCATGTGTGCTAGTTCATTTTGCTCATATTCTTAATTTTCAGAACAAAAACATGGAACTCAATTGAGAAAACATATGATTCTGAATGATAATGGAAACATGTTTATGTTTTTGTTTTCAATCTTCAATAGTAGATAATAGTAATAGTCTTGCCTGGGTTCCAGCCTGGTGTTGGTCTTGACTCAGATTCAACTACTACAAAGTACTGGTCTTTATTCAAACTCACCTCTAGTGGTCTTGACCACAAAACTAATGTCCGGAATTATTTTATCTATTTACAATGATATGTTTACACGCTTAAAACGACGTGTAAGAGCCTTAATGAAAATGACAACAGCTTATGTACTACTCTGAACCTCTACAGTGCTGATCTAGTCTGTGAGTTAAAGGTTAAATTGTTTCTCTGGAAACCTACTTGGAGTCGTGGTCAGATTAGTGCTAATGGTACTGGAATAGACTGGCATGGTGCTCATATCTGAAGAAAGGATATAAAACAAAGATTAAAATAAACAGCAGAAAAACAGGATCTGTTGCAGTGAAGAAGTGTTGGTTTTCAAACTAAAATGAGGGGAGAGCTGTATGACTAATTAGTTTGAAGCAATAATTAATGAAAAAAATGATAGTGATGTCACGTCAAGTTTTATAACTTCAACATTTAGATGTCCCTAAAACAAGACAATTCAACGTCACAATGGATTTTAAAAAAGCATCTTTGACATTATTTACTTTAGCTAACTATGATTATGCTAAACTTTCTAAAGGCAAAACTTTTGCTCCTCTGAACCTACTTGGAGTTGTGGTCAGTTTAGTACCAATGGTTGGTGTTGTAGAGACTGGTGTGGTGCTCACGTCTGAAAAAAGGGTACAAAACAAAGATATATTTAAAAAAAAACAAAAAACAAAAAAAAACTTCTTGTTTGCTTAGGAAACATGAGTTCACTTAATAGAAAATGCTAACATGAGTAGCATATATGCTGGTGTTTTTTGATCATATTCTTTATACTGTCATTAGAAAAATGTGGAATTTCCTTGAATGAACACATGTTTCTGGATGATACTAGAAATAAAGTTTATGTTTACATTTTGAATCAACTACTAAACTTCTAAGGTTGTCCCATTACTAAATCAAATGCCACCACATGTAAGTTTAATTTACCTGTTGTCTCATGAGAAGTAATTGCAGTGGATGTCCCTAAGACAAGACAAGCCAACGTCACAACAGATTCAGCAATACAAGAGCATGTCTGGTAGCGTTGCAGTGCTCAAGTCTGGAGTATGGTCTCCAGTGTTGTTTCTCAGTCTACACATCATTTGGACTCATCATTTGAAACCCCACGAAGACAGTGATGAGAGGAGTGGGAGGACAGCGGGAGTGGAGGACAGCGCGTGGCCCTCTCCGCTCAACTGGCTCTCATTAAGAGCAGCGTGAGCACCCGAGCTGAAGGAACAAGAGCTCGTTGCTCCGCCTTCTGGTCACTGCCCCCACTCTCTCGGCTCATCCACCAGGATCAAACATAAGGCAAATTAAAGTGGCCTCACTGCAGGACCAGGGCAGTGCCCAGGAGGTGGGGCTCGATACTTGCACCGTCCCCCACTCCCTTATGGATTTCATCCCCTTCTTGCTCTCTTCGCAGGGTTTTGTCTGGGCTTGGAGTTCGTGCCCCGCCTTGTTCCCGGCGCTCGCTGCTGTCATCAGGGCCTGGGGAATGGCGCATGCCACAGTGCTACTCTGAACTTACATGGAGTCGTGGTCAGTTTAGTGCTAGTGGTCGCTATTCTTGTAGAGACTGGCATGGAGCTCACATCTGAAAAGAGAGAATAAAACAAATATGATTGAGTTCAATTGAGTTTTATAAGAAACATGAGTTTGCTTGGTAGGTAATGCTAACATTATTAGTACTTATGCTAGTACTTTTGCTTATACTCTTTACATTATCAGCCAAAAAAAACTGGAATTTCTCCAGACACACAAGATTCTGGATGGCAAAATTGGTGTTTTCACTTTCAATCTTACTTGAATACTTACTCAAGAACTAAATGTGTTAGGTTGTCCTACAATCTCCACTATCTGTATTTTAATCATTACTTAATGAAAGGAAACATGCAACAAGCAAGTTTCATGTACCTGTTGTCTCAGCAGAAGTAGCTGCCCCTAAAACAAGACAAGCCAAATTACAACACATTTAAGAAAAGAAGAGTCAGGCATTATGTAGAATTTATCAAATTAATCATAACTCATTACAAATAGGCTAAACTTATTATAAAGTGGTAATTATGAACCTGAAACAAACATGATAACAATTGATGTAATGTGCTACTCTAAACCTACTTGGAGTTGTGGTCAGTTCAGTGGTAATGGCCGATGTTGTTGTAGAGAATGACGTGATGCTCACATCTGAAAAGAGTATATAAAACAAAGACAGTAAAAATATTTAGAGTTTGCTCAAGAAATATGAGTTAGCTTGGAAGCTAATGCTATTATTATTAGCGTGTGTGAAAACAAGTGTTTTTTTTTTTGTTTTTTTTTCCTGATATTGTTGATTATTTTAGTAGAAAATGTGGAATTTGAAAACATCATTCTGTGGTCAAAGAGATCCATTTTTACTTCATTAGTCCTTCATTAGTCATTAGTTACTTTATTAGGACTTCTTTCCAAAATGCCTTTGGCTTATTTGTACTTGCATACTTTATTTTTTGGCTTTTTCAGCGAAACATTCCTGTCCTTTACTGTCTAATGGGGTTTTTCATAAAAGCAGTGTATTTTGAAGTTTTTCTTGGTCTTCTGATATTGTCTTGACCTTTACAGTTCCCCTTAACTGCCAGTTCTTAACGAAATCTCAGACATTGGAAATTGTATGCTTTGATTTTTTTTAGGCTTCTTCTGCCTTATAGGCATAAGTTAGCTCCATTTTCAGATCCTCCCAGCGGCTTAGAGGAGCCCATGGCTACTGAATGTTAGCACAAGGCTTGAAAGATTGAAAGACAATTCTTGACATGCCTATTGACATGACTATTTTTATGGTAACCAAAAAAAATATTCATTAACATTTGAAAATGAAAAACTGCTGCAGAAATTCTTTATTTCATTTCAAATACACTGTAAAAAGTGGCTCGTCAGATCTACCTAAAAAGATTACTTCATGTGGTAACAAGCAATTGAACTAGTTTTATTCAACTCACAAAATTAATTTGATCGAAAGAATTGTTCATTCAAAGTATTTATTTAGGTTGAATAAAACTAGTTAATTTACTTGTTACCACAGGACGTATTTTTTAGGTAGATGAGCCATTTTCTACAGTGTAGAACATATCATTTTGACAGACCTTTGTCTAAAACTGTACATTTTTATTTTACTGTTCTGTATTCTGAGACTGTTCTGTATTCTGAGACTGTATTTCTCCTCCTACTTTGTAGTTTGTCTGAAGGCAATTTGTAATCATGGCAGTTCTTTTTGTTCTACATCACAACAGATTAATCTAAACAACAGCATTTCTGGTAGTGTTTACTCTAAAATAAAATCAATCACAGCTAATTACAATTGTGCTAAACCCACTCTTAAGTTGTGACTGAACATGTAACAAAAAACAACAGATATGTAATGTGCTACTCTGAACCTATATAGTGCTAATCTATTCTGAAAATTGAAGGATAAAATGCTGGAAACCTACTTGGAGTTGTGGTCAGTTCAGTGCTAATGGTCGGTGTCACTGTAGAGACTGGTGTTGCGCTCATATCTGATGGGAATATGAAAGATACAAACATAACTTGGTAGCTAATGCTAACTTTACTGGCACATATGCTAATGTCTACATATCGATTGTCTTTTTAACTCATACATTTAATCTTTCAGTAGAAAAATGTAGGATTTGAAAAAGGGAAATGATAAATTTGTCAAGGAGTGCCCAAATATTTTTATCCATTTACGATATTTATTCTATTTTTAACTTTGTAGTCCTACAAAACATTATTTACGTATTTGAATGTACTAAGGTTGGAAAATTTGGTTTAGACAACACATCGTTGCTTTCCTAACAAAACCTCGTATATCCATTTTTCTTGTTTTTGATATAATTTGAAAAGGGCTGCGTCCTTTACATTGTGTGTAAATTTCAACCAAAGGAAATGACCCAAAATTACTTAGAAAAAAGTCTGGTTCCATTGACTTACATTAAAAGTAATGATTTTGTCCTTCTCCTGTAAAGTTATCATTTTGGAGACGCGTGTTTTTGTTCTGACAGCAGCGATATGCAAACATTTTAGTGAGTGTTACAACTAGCACCTCAGTCCATTGCATTGAACCACAGCAGATGGGTAAGTTGTAACATTTGCATTTACTTTGCTTTTGTATTAACTGTTCACAGACTGTAGATGCTGGGGACTAAGTATATGTTTTAATTGGTTGAAGAGGTGGGTATGTTGTTTGTTGTAAACACATCTAGCACAAATACAAAAAAGAAAAAGGGGTTGGTTGCACCCCACTCTCCACTATCTGGAGAAATGGCAGGTTTTTGTTTTTTTATTTTGAACCATTACTGAATTAAATGACACAACATGTAAGTTTAATTTACCTGTTCTCTCAGCAGAAGCAGTAGATGCCACTAAAACAAGACAAGCCAAAACCACAATAGATTCAACTAAATAAGAGTATATCTGACATTATTGTAACCAAGCATATTAATACTGTACACTGATCAGGCATAACATTCTCCACCTCCTTGTTTTTTTACAGTCATTGTCCATTTTATCAGCTCCACTTACTATAAAGGTGCACTTTGTAGTTCTACAGTTACAGACTGTAGTCCATCTGTTTCTCTGCATACTTTGTTATCCCCCTTTTACCCTGTTCTTCAGTGGTCAGGACCCCCATGAACCCTCACAGAGCAGGTCCTATTTGGGTGGTGGATCATTCTCAGCACTGCAGTAACACTGACGTGGTGGTGGTGTGTTAGTGTGTGTTGTGCTGGTACAAGTGGATCAGACACAGCAATGCTTCTGGAGTTCTGGAGACGTAAAGTCAGAGACGATAGCTCATCCGCTGCTGCACAGTTTGTGTTGGTCATCCTCTAGTACTTCATCAGTGGCCACAGGACGCTGCCCACAGGACGCTGTTGGCTGGATATTTTTGGTTGGTGGACTATTTAGTCCAGCAGTGACACTGAGGTGTTTAAAAACTTCAGCAGCACTGCTGTGGCTGATCCACTCAGGCCAGCGCAACACACACTTACACACCACCACCACCACATCAGTGTTACTGCAGTGCTGAGAATGATCCACCACGCAAATAGTACCTGCTCTGTGAGGGTCCATGGGGATCCTGACCACTGAAGAACAGGGTAAAAGGGGGCTAACAAAGTATGCAGAGAAACAGATGGACTACAGTCTGTAATTGTAGAACTACAAAGTGCACCTATATAGTAAGTAGAGCTGATAAAATGGACAATGAGCATAGAAACAAGGAGGTGGTCACAATGTTATGGTTGTAAACTATATATATATAGTTTACAACCTGTAATCAAAAAGGTCAACAGATGATATAATGTGCTTCTTTGAACCTTTAAAATACTGATATAGTCTAAGTTTTTTTGTAGGTTAAATTGTTCCTCTGGAAACCTACTTGGAGTGGTAGTCAGTTTAGTGCTAGTGGATGCTGTTGTTGCAGGGACTGGTGTGGCTACATTAAAACACAAAAGCACAGAGATATAAAAACATGTTACTGGTACCATGTAAAGAAAATATTTAACATATTTTCTCTGTTCACAAATCATAATTATATTTTATAATGTAATGATTGTCTGATTTAAACAACATAACACTGTGTTGAACTATTGGTGTTTCCATTAAATTACAGAGTTTTAGTCAAGGTTACAACTAGACTCCTCAATCTGTCATGATAAAACCCACATATGGGGTAAGTTGGAACATGTGCATTCCCTCATATGTCAGCTGAGTTGTTTATTTTTTTGATGTTCCTTGTACAAAACAAGCAAATAAGTAAATAAATAATAATACAAAAATACTAATTGCGTTAGGTTGTCCTGTCACTCTCCCCTATGTGTAGTTATGGCAGCTTCTTAAATAATTACTGAATCAAATTAAATAAATGTGAGTCTAATGTACCTGTTGTCTCAGCAGGAGCTGCAGTAGATGCCCCTTAAACAAGACAAGCCAGATTCAACAAAATAAGAGCATGTCTGCCATTATTTACACTAAAATAATATTAATCCGTGTATTACTATTACTATATTATTACTATATTATTACTACAGTAATAATGTACGCTAGTCCCCAACCTGTAACCAAAAAAGCCAACAGATGATGTCATGTTCTACTGTAAACCTCTGCAGTGCTGATTTAGCCTGTAAGTTATTTGAAAGTTAAAATTTTCATCTGGAAACCTACTTGGAGTCGTGGTCAGTTCAGTGCTAATGGTCAGAGTTGTTGTAGAGACTGGTGTGGTGCGCACATCTGAAAAGATTATACAAAACAAAGCTGTTTAAACACTCACTTCAGTTAACATGAGTTAGCTCTGTAGGTAATGCTAACATTATTAGCATGCATGCTAGCATCTACAGAATGAGAATTTTCTGCTCATATTTTTCTACTTTTAGTAGAATATGAACACATGATTCTGGATGAATAAAGGCATACATCTCTAGTGACACTCCTGTCACTCCAAAATCAATCTAAAGTAATTATTTATGGAAGTTTTATTTCATTGTTCTGATGTCTCTTCTTCTACTTACAGTCAAGCAAAAATCTGCCAGTTCTGACACAGCAGCGATGAAACAGTGCAAGTTACCTGTATTGCAATACTTTTTAAATGATTTTGACAGAAGAAAGTGTGTTTGGTTGCCCCACACTCTCCACTGTTTGCAGTCATGGCAGTTTTTTTTTTCTTTAAACCATTACTGAAACATATGAAACCACATATAAGTTAATGTACCTATTGTCTCAGCAGATGTAGTTGCAGTAGAGGCCACTAAAACAAGATAATGTCACAACAGACTCAACCAAACTGGAGCATTTTTGAATAAGTCACACTAAAATTAAATCAAATTATAGATAATATTAATTAACATAAGATAGCAAAACAATTTTCAGACTGTTTTCGGAAATAATGGACATTGCATTCTCTGGACCAACACAAGTTCTCGAGACCCAACTGTTACCAACGCAAAGTCCAAAAGCCTTCATCTATCATGGTATGGGGTTGTGTGAGGGCCAATGTCATTGGTGACCTGCACATCTGTGAAGACTTTTTCTCCCTGTACATGATCTGTAGCCACGGCAGATTTATAATCACTGAATCAAATAAAGCAACATGCCAATTAATGTATCTGTTGTCTCATGCAAATGTAGTTGCACCAGACTTCCCAAAAACAAGACAAACCAACATCATAACAGATTCATTAAATCAAGAGCTGATCTGGCATCATTAAATTACGACAAAATCTGTTATGAGATGAGGTGCTGCTCTAAACATTTACAGTGTTGATCTAGTTTTTGAGTTGTTAAAAGGTTAAAATGTTGCTCTGGAGACCTACTTGGAGTCGTGGTCAGTCCAGTTGTGATGGTAGCTGTTGTAGAGCCTGGCGAGGTGCTCACTTCTGAAAAGAGGGTATAAAATGATTAAGTTAAAAAGGCTAAAGAAATATATTAGCTTGGAAACTTTGAAGCATTAATATGTAGAACTGGATTATTTTTACTTAAAGTCATACATTTACACTATATGGCCAAAAGTATGTGGACACCTGGCCAATTTGTGCCCTTTCAGTCAAAAGACCATCTGTGAGGTCAGACCCTGATGTTGGATGAGAGGGCCTGGCTCACAACCATAATTACAGTTCATTCCAAAGGTGCTCAATGAGGTTAAGGACAGGGCTTTGTGCAGGCCACTGGAGTTCTGCCACACCGAACCCATCAAACCAAAGGAACAGGAAAAGGCCTTCTCCAAACTGCTGCTACAGAGTTGGTAGTCCATCACAATTAACATCGCATAAGGCGTGAATTTTATTTGACATTTGTTTCACTGTGCAAAGATTATGTTTTAATTTGTAGCAAGGATGTATATGTTGCCTGAAATTTTTGCTTTTAAATGATAGTTTTAAAATGAATTAGCAAGAAACTAAATGCGTTAGGTCGTGCCACGCTCTCCCCTATCAGGAGTCATGGTAGTTTTTGTAACATGTAAGTTTAATGTACCTGTTGTCTCAGCAGATGAAACTGCAGTAGATGCCCCTAAAACAAGACAAGCCAACATCACAACACATTCATCTAAACACTAGCATGTCTAACATCATTTACTTTGAAAAAAATAATAATCACAGGTAATTGAAATTATGCTAAACTTGTAAGAATTACAATGAAAATCAACAAAACAAGAGCTGGTCTAATAACTGTGTAGTTACACATTAACAATACATGTAACAAGAATGTAACTGCTGCTGACATATACTCACTGTTACAGATGGATTAGTTTTATATATATATATATATATATATATATATATATATATATATATATTTGTGTGTGTGTGTGTGTGTGTGTGTGTGTATAAACTTCTGTTTCTATTAATGTAATCACTGTAGTGATAAATGTGTAATAAGGTGAAGGTAGTTACATTTGTATGAACTTTTTCCAACAAGATATTTCTGATTGTAACAGGAGTTATGTGATTATATACATTACACTGCATCATCGCAGGAAATGCCAGCTTTCCTAACATTTAGCTAGCTGTAGTAGTACAGTTACAATAGAAATGTCTTGCTCAGACAGTAGTGTGCCTTATTAACTGTGTAATTACATAAAAGAAAATACAAAAAAAATATTTGTGCAATCACATAAGTTAAACCAAAGCTGTACTACTGTAATCTATCTGTAAGAGTCAGTAACTGACCAGCAGTTACATTGTTGTATTATTGTTCTACATAGTATTGCTAATGTGTAACTACACAGTTATTGCAGACAGTAAATATAAAGCAGGACCCAAGAGCTTGATTACATGTGCTACTCTGAATCTCTACAGTGCCAAACTGGTCTGTAAGTTATTTGTAGCTATTTGTCTGGAAACCCACTTGGAGTCATGGTCAGTTCAGTGCTAACGGTTGGTGTTGTTGTAGAGACTGGCATGGTGCTCATGTCTGAAAAGAAGGTATAAAACAAAGATGTGAAAGGGTCATTTGAGTTTGCTAAAGTAATAGGAGTTAGCTTCATAGCTAATGCTAACATTATTTGCATGTATGCTAGTGTCTAATGAAGAAGTAGTTTTTGAGCATGTTTTCAAATTTTCAGTAGAAAAATGTGGGATTACATAGACTGATTACACATTTTCATGAGTAGTTTTCATTTGCAGCCGTGTTTCTGTTGCTTGTAATGTAATCTGACTCAAAGAATTTTTTTAATGATTTAGAAAAAACAATGTGTTTTTTGTGCCCCGCTCTCCCCTATTGGTCAATCATTACTGAAAGAAATGAAAGTCTAATGTACCTGTAGTCTCAGCAGAAGTAGTTGCAGATGTCACTAAACAAAGACAAGCCGACATCACAACAGATTCAGCGATAGAAGAGCATGTCTGGCGTTATGTAGTTTAGCTAATTACAATAACACCGTTGATTCTATTATATCATTTATTATAGCTAGTTTACAATTATGATGAAGAGCCTGTAACAAAATTGACAACAGATGATATAACACTACTCTGAATCTCTACAGTGCTGATCTAGTCTGTAAGTTATTTGACAGTTAAAAAGTTCCTCTGGAAACTTACTTGGAGTGGTGGTCCGTTCAGCGCTTGTGGTCGCTGCTGTCACAGTGACTGGTGTAGTTCTCAGATCTGAAAAGAAGGTGTAAAACAAAGATGTGAAAAAAGTTTGAGTTTGCTAAAGTAACATGAGTTTATTTGGTAGGTAATACTTATATTATTAGTATGTATGCTTGTGTCTAATGAAAGAATTGTTCCTCATATTTTTAAACTTTCAGTATAAAAAAGATTGGAATGAACGCAAAAATCTGGGTGATTGTAGACATTTGTATATGTTACGGTATGTGTGTGCACAGCGTGTTATCTAAACATTATACTAACTTTAATAAAGCAAGTTTAATAGCTAATTAGTTCATTTTACTGCAACCAGTATTCTGGATACTGGCTGCATTTAAAGTCCTGCGTTATTTCCTTCAGTATATAGTCCCATATTTCATTCAAAAGACATTCATTTCTGCCAAAGTTAGTTGCCACTTTACTAAGCGGCTCAGTGAAGGAATTGTTCAACTTTGCTGCCATGCAGAGCTTTTGTTATAAAACAAACTTGTGTTTTATTTTTATTCTGTTGATATTTTATGTTCAATGACACACAGCGTGCAGTATGCCAAACTGTAACTACATCAGTTTAGAATTAAACGCTTTTTTAATGTTGAAATATGAAACAAAGGTCAAATGTTTTTAAATGAATGCCACCCAACTCCAGCTCTACTCGTTCTCCTCACATGGAACTCATTTCACTTACGGTACAGACTATTTAACCACTTGCTCAGTCAGTTACTCTTTTCATTGTGATGCTGTTGCTTCTTGTTATTTTCTGACATGTTTTCTCACTGAATTTCGATGATGATGTACTTTGTTTGTTAGACTCATTTTTTTGTTTAGTTTTTTTATGATGAAAAACCATAAAACTCCTTTTTTTTCTCTAAGCTACCTGTTGTCTCTGCTGCAGAAGTTTGCCCAGTTGTCCCTACAAGAAGATAAACTAATGTCACAACAATAAACTCAACAAAAAAAAGCATGTCTGGCATTATATATTCAGAAAATAAATAGACACTCTTAAAAAGGGGTTTTTCAGGGGTTCTTTAGTAAATAAAATGGTTCTATATACCATATGTAACCATATATATATATATATATATATATATATATATATATATATATATATATATATATATTACACATACATATATATACATATATATATATATACATATATACACACACACACACACACACATATATATATATATATATATATATATATATATATATATATATATCACATATACATATATATATATATATATATATATATATATATATATTTATATATATATATATATATATATATATATCCATGAACACTCAAAGAACCCTTTGCATGGTTAAAAGGTTCTTTGCATTATGAAGGTGTTCTTCTCATTGATGGAGAATGTGCTGTAGACGGTCCTCTATGGAAATTTTTGAAAAGGGTTCTATATAGCAGAAAAAAGGTTCTTCTACTGTTACAGTGTCAAGCTTGCAATAACACAAGAACCCTTTTTGGTGCCATATAGAACACTTTTCCAAAATGTTCTATATAGAACCATCTACAACACATTATCCATCAATCTGAAGAACCCTTTCTTGATGCGAATAACCAGCCCATTAGTCATGCAAATGGTTCTTTAAGTGTTCTTTGTTCTATATAGGAATTGATTAAAGACGCCTTGAAGAACCATCATTTTTAAGTGGGTACAATGCTGATCTAGTCTGTTGGTTAAATGTTCTTCTGGAAACCTACTTGGAAACGTGGTCAGTTCAGTACTAATGGTCGCTGTTGTCTTAGGGGCTTGCATCATGTTTACATCTGAAAAGATGGAACAAAACATTAACGTTATAAACTATTTGAGCTTGCTAAAGTAACATGAATAGATTGGTAGCTAATGCTAATATTATTAGCTTGTATTCTAGTGTTGATGATGAAATAACTGTTCATAGTGGGGACAGCTGGTAATAGCTACCTATACATATACTACAAATGATACCATGAATGAATATACACATTTACTGAAAAGGCTACAGGTAGGAAAGGTAAGTTCAGGGGTATAAATGTACAGTACAGTTGGTCCATAACTATTTTGACATTGATATATTTACTGTTATCATTGCTTTTTTTTTTCATTTATGAGCATTTGGTGAAGCAAGCCTTCAATAAACTGGACAATCAAATCAAACCTATCACAGTGAAAACAGTAACTTTAGGTGTGGCCAAGTTAACCATTTAGTACATTCTTACAAAGAATGAATGTACTGATGAGCTTAGAAACAGCAAACAGACCATGGAAAACAGGTGTAGATGACAGAAAAAGTATTTTCCTGATAAAGAAAAACTCCTTTACAACAGCTAGATTAAGAACACCCTCTAGGAGGTTAGTGTATCAGTGTAAAAGTCAACAATCAAGTGAAGACTTCACCAGAGTAAATAAAAAGGGTTTACCACAAAATGTAAACCATTGGTAAGTCTCAAAAAGAAAAAAAAAAGAAAAAATCCAAAAATGCATGTACAGTTCTAAAACGACAACTTTTGGACAGATAAAAAGATAGACTTATACCAGAATGATGGGAATAGAGAAGGCAAAGAACTGCTCATGATCCAAATCATTGTAGAAGTGTGTAGGACTATATTACCTGCTCACATTCAGCCAAATGCTTCAAAACAATAACTAGCATATTGCAAAAGCAACCCAACCATTTTTTAATGCAAATGAGTAGAATTCTCTGCAATGTCCAAGTCAATCACCTAACTTTAATCCAATCAAGCCTGCTTTTCATTTACTGAAAGGAAAACTGAAGGCAAAATGCTCCAAGTACAAGTAGTAATTGAAGACAGCTGTAATCATCTCAGGGAAGAGGCTTGTTTTAATTTGTTAATTTTAAATCAAATTTGCTGAGGTAGACAGCTAAAATAACAATAACTTTATCAAAGTCCATATGTGCATATTTGTACCTCATAGTTAAATGAAACCTTAAATGTCATTCAAATCTAATTTCTACATGTGGTGGTGTTTATAACTAAAAAGGTTCTGCTTATTTTAGATAAACAATAATTCCCTATCAGTTACTGTAAACCTGTAACAAAAATAGCAACAAATAATTTAATGTACCAATCTAAATTTTTGATTGATCTAGCTTGTAAGTAGATGACTTACATGGAGTTAGGGTCAGTCTAGTGCTAATGACCTCAGGTGTGGTTGAGCCTGATGTAATGGTGCTCACATCTGAAAGGATACATACAACAACAAATCATTTGAAGGTTACATTTCTCTCATTCTGACTCTCATTTTCATGTTAAATTTAACCTTTTTTCAGTGTAATTGAGCATACTGGTTTAGTAAAGTGAATGTCTTTTACTGACCAACCCCCCCCAGCCAATGTCTTGGGTCTTTCAAAAAACGATTATAGTTCTATTTAATACCATCTACAAAAGTAAGTAATTGATTTTTTTTTTACTTTTAAATGGTAGTTTTAAAATGAATTAGCAAGAGACTAAATGCGTTAGACCATGCCACTCTCTCCCCTATCAGGAGTCATGGTAATTTTTTGTAACATGTAAGTTTAATGTACCTGTTGTCTCAGCAGATGAAACTGCTGTAGATGCCCCTAAAACAAGACAAGCCAACATCACAACAGATTCTTCTAAACACTAGCATGTCTAACATCATTTACTCTGAAACAAATAATAATAATCAGAGGTAATTGAAATTATGCTGAACTTGAGAAAAGTGCTGATTATAAACTTATAGTGACTGTAAGAATTACACTCAAATTCAACAAAACAAGAGCTGGTCTAATAACTGTGTAGTGACACATTAACAACACATGTAACAAGAATGTAACTACTGTATGTATATATATATATATATATATATATATATATAATATATATATATATATATGTATGTGTGTGTGTGTGTGTGTGTGTGCGCGCATGTGTGTGTGTGCGCGCATGTGTGTGTGTATAAACTTCTGTTTCTATTCATGTAATCATTAAATGATGATAATGATACATGTGTAATAAGGTGAAGGTAGTTACATTTGTATGAACTTTTTCCAACAAGGTATTTCTGATTATAACAGGAGTTATGTGATTATGTACATTACACTGCATCATCGCAGGAAATGCCAGCTTTCCGAACACTTAGCTAGCTGTAGTAGTACAGTTACAATAGAAATGTCTTGCTCGAATAGCAGTGTGCCTTATTAACTGTGTAATTACATGAAAGAAAATACAAAAAATATATTTGTGCAATCACATAAGTTAAAGCGAAGCTATACTACTGTCATCCATCTGTAAGAGTCAGTAACTGACCAGCAGTTACATTGTTGTATTATTTTTCAATATAGTATTGTTAATGTGTAACTACACAGTTATTACAGACAGTAAATATAAAGCAGGACCCAAGAGCTTGATTACATGTGCTACTCTGAATTTCTACAGTGCCGATCTAGTCTGTAAGTTATTCGGAGTTATTAGTCTGGAAACCCACTTGGAGTCGTGGTCAGTTCAGTGCTAACACTTGGTGTTGTTGTAGAGACCGGCAAGGTGCTCATGTCTGAAAAGAAGGCATAAAACAAAGATGTGAAAAAAGGAGTTAGTTTTTAGTTTTACAATAATACTGTATTATATTATTACTCTATTATATCATTTATCATAGATAGTTTACAATTATGATTATTACAATTTTGACTGAATCATTTTCCTTTACTGTTTTGTCTTTATACACAGGTATTGTGCTGTTTAAAAGACAACTGAAAGTACCTCATAGTTAAAGGAAACCTTAAATGTCATTCAAATCTCATTTCTACATGTGGTGTTGTTTATAACTAAAAGGATTCTGCTTATTTTAGATAAATAATAATTTCCCTATCAGTTACTGTAAACCTGTAACAAAAATAGCAACAAATAATTTAATGTACCAATGTAAATTTTTGATTGATCTAGCTTGTAAGTAGGTGACTTACATGGAGTTAGGGTCAGTCTAGTGCTAATGACCTCAGGTGTGGTTGAGCCTGATGTAATGCTGCTCACATCTGAAAGGATACATACAACAACAAATCATTTGAAGGTTACATTTCTCTCATTCTGACTTTCATTTTCATGTTAAATTTAACCTTTTTTTCAGTATAATTGAGCATACTGGTGTAGTAAAGTGAATGTCTTTTACTGACCACCCCCCACCCCCACCAATGTCTTGGGTCTTACAAAAACGATTAAAGTTCTACTTAATACTATATCTACAAAAAGTAATCAATTAAGTAATTGATTGTGTTAATATATAAAATATACCATGTTACATCTAAAAGTAAACGTGAAATCATGCATGAAACATTAAGATTATGACACAGAAGAAGCCTTGGGGGATATCACCCTGAACACCTCCTGAGTGAGAACCCATCACCATTGAGGACCAGGTGTGACAAAGACTGGAACACTCCCCACATCTATACTGCAAAAAAAGTCAGAGCACCTCAAGTTTTGAAATGGGGATGTCCTGGTTTCAAGTTGCCATCTTTGAAGCTGGCTTTGACCTTTCAGCTGATTACATATTGAACTCAGTCCAAAAACAAGATAACACTGCCGAGTCCAATCATTGAACCCAAAATTTGAACGTAACTGTAAGATTTTCTCTGCTTTTCTCAGCAGTGTTGCAGGGTGGAATGTCTTGAGATACTGTAAACCCTCTGGAATCAAATTTAATACAAAATCTAGATAGAGAAGTTTATTATAGTTGTATTGTTATTGTATCTTTTCATGGTGTTTTTATGACTCCTACTTGTGGTTTTCATTCAGGCAGTTTAATAGTCCTGCCCGATTTCATTTTACAAATAGAAATAATTATATCTTCATGCTGTGTATTTCTTCTTGCATTTACCAATTACCAATTGCTTTATTGTAAAACTGTTAAACTGTGACTATTTCAATCTGATTTTTGACAATATGGTGGCTTTGATTTAGGAAATGCAAAATAAATATTAATATCTTAGGAATTCACACAAATGACAAGTGACAATTTCTCAGTTTTCCCAAATCTAGTCAGTCAATGAAGACGTGTTTTGTGTTTGAACTTTGCTTCTTCAGTTTTAGCAATGGAGCTATGAGGCTAATACAGCTAACAAGTAATGGAAGCTTATATCCCAGCAATTCCCAGCGTAATGCTAACTATATTCCTAAATCATCTCACACACTCCTCAAACCAAACCTCAAGTAAAGTATTCTCAAATAGACTTTGTGATTTCTCACATTAAAGGACACACTGCTATCTATGGAACTAGTCAAATGACTAAAATAGAGTAGCAGGAGCCATTTTTTCCCTATCTTAGATAACCTGGGCTTTTTCATGTCATTCTTGCGCATACATTTTCCTTGATGTTCACTGTCACTGTCATCATCATGACTTAGTATGGCTGCTCAGTCTAATTTACAGTGAACTACTGACTATAGTGCTGACTTTATTAGTGTATCAGTCACTCGAGAAAACTGCCTCCACTTCAGAGAAGAACTGAATCCAATAGCACAGATTTACCATTATTGACTTTATATATTATACTGACAATGGATAAAGCAATTCTTATTATTAATTCTGGAGTCTTCAGTCTTTCAAATCACTCACAAAATACTCCACTATCAAGAAATGATGTGAATGAATCATTAACTGCAAAAGCTAAGGGATATGTTTGCCACCATATTCAGAAAATGAGAATTCAGAGAATTTACTTGCTAGCGAAAACCCTGCTACAGAAATAAATATCATTAAATGTCTTTATGTGATTTTTTCTCTTCATTGACTTTGTGTTGAATAAAATGAAATAAAGTGAAAGTTCAATGAATGTACCTGTTGTTTCAGCTGCAGGAATTGCAGTAGTCATGCCTACAACAAGACAAGTCAATGTCACTACAGACTCAACAAAACAAATTATTATGAAATGATGTTAATAAGGGTTCGGTTCAGTTTGGTTCACTTAGGTTCAGTGGTTTCAGTTTGGCCCAGGTACATGGTTCAGTTGGAAACAGAATGTGGATATGATACACAATTAAACATTGTGAGGTTTTAATTAGAAAATGGATTGTATGTGTCTGACCTTCTGACTACGTGGAATGGAACAACCACACATACACTTCACACAAGCACTTAACCTCTTACATGGCCAGGGCCCAGCTTTATCACACACCTCTATAACCTAAGAATAGCTCAACCAGTTTGCATTGAGGTCCCTGTAGTTGCTGACTAATAAGGCTCATTACGTAATAAGCCTGAGATTTTACGGGGTTAAATGCTGTAACACACACTTCAGAAATACAACATGCCTGAGTTCAACCTGATATGTCTTCAATATGTTTATGCGTTTGTATATGTAAATATACACATACTCCAGCAGCCACACTCTTAAAAGATGGTTCTTTGAGGTTTCTTTATTAAAGAAAATCGTTTTATACAGAACTGTCAACACTCAAAGAATGCTTTGCATGATTATAGGGTTCTTTGCATTGCGAAATGGTTCTTTAGACTGGTGGAGAATGTCTTGTGTCTGGTTGTATATAGAACCTTTTTAAAAAGGGTTCTATACAGCACAAAAAGGGTCCTCCTATTGTTACAATGTCAAGCTTTTAACAGTAGAACACTTCTTGGTGCTATATAGAACACTTTTCAAAAAGGTTCTATATAGAACCATCTACAGCATATTCTCCATCAATCTGAGGAACACTTACACATCGCAAAGAAACTTTTAATCATACAAACGTTCTTTGAGTGTTCACAGTTCTATACAGAACCATTTTCTTTACTAAATAATCCTTGAAGATTAAGTGCATAGAACTAGAACTAATTATCATACATAGCACACACACACACACACACACACACACACACACACACACACACAAACACACCCACACACACAACATGCACACACACATTCTGCATAGCAAAAGGGACTTTTTGAAACCTTTTTGAACCAATCACTGGACCAATTACCATATATATATGTATTTTTTATCATTCCAGGTACATAAGCCTGTGTTTTAGGAAACTGTGTGAGTGGGTTTGTATTATCATTTGCCAGGTACTGTTTGATTGACAATATTTACTCTCTTAACAGTTAACATGGCTATAATGTGCCACATTCAGCCTCTGGTGACTACAGCTATTTAAAGGATAAATGCTAAGAATTCCTCTGGAAACCTACTTGGAGTTGTGGTCAGTTCAGTGCTAATAGTCATAGTTGTGGTAGAGATGATGGTCCTCACATCTGAAAATAGCATACGTCAAATGATAAATATGAATAATAAATATAAAATCAGTGAGAAATTTTGATATTATTATTTAAAATATAATATAAAAATATTATTTTTAATGTTTGGATATGTTGAAAATTGAAATGCTACACAATGCTAGGGAGAAGAAATGCTTTCCAAGCAAACATTTTAAAGACACTTTCAATAATCATCAAAGAAAAAAAAAAGGCAAACTTTAAACATAAAGTCATAAAGCTTTTTATCATAGGAGAACACATGAATTAATACTAATATGAGCTATGCATGAGTAATGTAGGAAAGCTGCAAAGCTAAGGAATGTTTCCTATATATCCATTTACAACTATATATATATATATATATATATATATATATATATATATATACACAAATAGTACATTAAATATATATAATATAATATATATAGATATATATATATATATATATATATATATATATATATATATAAATATATATGTAATATATATATGTAAAGGGTAAAAGGGTAAATGGCATTTTCAAATTGTCATATATAATTGTGTTTTATTTAATATAAAATGAAATTAAGTAAAAGTTAATGTCTTAATGTACCTGTTGTTTCAGCAGCAGGACTTACAGTAGTTATGCCTAAAACAAGACAAGCCAGTGTCACTACAGTTGGTTATGGTGAAGTCAGCAATAATGTGTTACTCTTATCATCTGCTTACTCCAGTTTGTAAAAGGATAAACGCTGAGAATTCCTCTGGAAACCTACTTGGAGTGGTGGTCAGTTCAGTGCTAATGATCAGAGATGTGGTAGAGACTGGCATGATGGTGCTCACATCTAAAAAGAGAACGTAATAATAATAAAAAAGAAAACATATATATGAATTGGAGTCTTTTGAATCAATCCATTCTCACACAATAATCACACAAATATCAACAAATATTGTCAAATATTTACTTTAATGAAAATCCATGTATTTCTCATGTGTTACATGACTACCAATCTGAAGGCCTAACCTAAAACATAGAGATTTAGCATACTGTAGCATCAGCGTAGAGGCATATGTGGAACACATCAAGCATACAGGCAAATGCTCTTTATTGAACAGACACTTCAACAGCGAGTCTTTACAAAGACCAGGAATGCCCAGCTCAGTGTTACTCCGACATGAAACACAGGGAAGAGATAAAACAGGAGGACATACAAGGAGGGTAGACACAACTAACCCCTCGTTACACTACAAAGCCCAACCTCCTCAGACACAATTACTGTAATGAATGCAACTATCCTCTCACAATAGTAACAGCCTAAACAACAACAACAACAACAACAACAACAACAACAACAACAACACAACAAATGTTGTTCCCCTAGTCCTTCTGAGCTTCGCCACAGAAAGAACTTAATATGGAATTTGAAGGAATTTGAAGTAAACTTCTTTTTAGTAGCACCAATGACATGAAATCATGTGAAGTGTGTTTGGACTTTTTAAATGTTTATGTAATTTTTCAAAGCGTTATTCTTCATAGGTGCATTACTCACATTTAACGTATGGCATGGAATCAGTGACGAATGTTATTTTTCATATTTGTATATAGGCCGGGGAGACAAGCAGTTTTCCAGTCAAGCAACACTTTCAATAATGAATAAAGGCAAACTTTAAACAAAACGATGTAAAGCTGTTAATTATTTGAGGGTATATGAATTAATACTAATACGTTATGCATGAGGTTTAACAAATCTGTATTATAGTAAAGTTGCAAAGCTAAGGGATATGTGTATGTGTGCCACCATATTCAGAGAAAGACAGTTAGAGGCTAATGCAGCTAGCAAGTAATGGGAGCTTATATCCTAGCAATCAGCAATTATGATGCTAACTCAACATATCACACACCCCTCAAACCACAATGATAGGATTCTCAAATAGACTGGTTTCTGACACGCTGTATAGCACACACATTGATATCTATGAAACTAGTCAAATGACTAAAAGCAGTAGCAGCAGACAATCGTTTTATTTGTTCATATCATAGATAACCTGGACTTGTTCATGTCATTCTTGTGCCTACGTTTCCCAAAATAACTTAGGATGTTCAATCTAATTCACAATGAACCACTGACATCAGTTTGATTAGTGTACCAGTCAGAAAAACTGACTCCACTTTAGAGAATTGAATCCAGTAGAATCCAGAATCACCATGATTGCCACTCATTATATTGACAACAAATAAAGCAATTCATTTGTAACATCTTCAATTCTGAACATTTTTCATTAGCCCCAAAAAATCTGTCATTAGTCTTTATCATAGTCATTAATGCCACAAGCAGGGGGTGTTACACCAATGACAATGTTTTTTATCCCATAAATTGGCTTTTCAGTCTTTCCAATCACTCATAAAATACTCAAATAACAAGAAATGATGTGAATCATTCACTGCAATGCTAAGGGATGTGTTTGCAAGCACATTCCAAGAATGGCCCATTCACTGGCTAACAAAATATATATATGATTATTATTTTTTTTCTTCAGTGGCTGTGTGTTGAGTGAAATTGAATGAAATTTCAGCAGCAGGAATTACAGTAGTTATGCCTAAAACAAGACAAGACAATGTCACTACAAACAAGCAAATAGACAAATTATTATGAAGTGATGATGGCCACTTGGCAATAATGTGCTACAATTCCTCTGAAAACCTACTTGGAGAGGTGGTCAGTTCAGTGCTAATGGCCGGAGTTGTGGTAGAGACTGGCATGATGGTGCTCACATCTGAAAAGATAGCATACATCAAACTTAAAACATAAATCATCATAAAAAAAAAACATGAATTGAATCTTCTCATTATATTGATATCGAAAATTCTTAAGTCATTTACTTTTAGAAATCCATGTGTTAATTGACCAGTGACAAATCTAAGAGCCGATATAAATCAGTGCGAAATATTATTTTTTAATGTTTGCGTATGTTAGTGAAATTTCTCACATTAGTTACTCTTGTAACCTTGTATCTCCAAAATGGTAACTTTACAGGAGAAGGAAAAAACATACTTTACTTTTAATGTAAGTCGATGGAACCAGAAGTTTTACCAACTCACTCTGGGCTGTTTCTTTGGGTCCGTGCATCGTGAAATTTACACACAATGTAAAGACCAACAGGCATTTTCAAATTATGTCAGCAACTGAATAATGACAAAAATGGAGATACAAGGTTTTGTTCTGACAGAAGCGATGTATTTACATTCATTTTAAATGCTCTGAAAACCTACTTGGAGTGGTGGTCAGTTGAGTGCTAATGGCCGCAGTTGTTGTGGTAATGACTGGTGTGATGGTGTTCACATCTGAAAAACAAAGAAGAAGCATACATCAAACATTAAATATAAATAATAAAAATACAAAAAGTAAAGTTTAGATTTATCTCATATTCTGACTTAAAGATCAAGCTGGTAACAGTGTATATCGCACAGTAATTGTACTGTGTACAAAATTTATTGCAAAATACTACTTTTTTATTTACAGTGTTTATCAGTAGCATTTTTTGTCATATTAAATTAAATAAAACATAAAAATTAGGAATGCATAACATTATAGGAGTACACTTTTTTCAAAAATGGTATGTAATCTGATCTTATTACTAATAATACTAATTATAAGACTAATTATAGTGTCTGTAATGAAGGTAGACTTACTTCAATGATTGCTAAATCAATAAACCTAATATTTGCGTTATCTAAATGTTACAAAAAAAAGCAGTGTTTTCTAATATTTCACCCCTTCTGAAATTATTTGCAGACCACAGCATCGAATGAAATGGTATGACGTTTTAAATATGTATTGTTCAGAAGTAGGATGTTGTATGAGTTATGTCTACAACAAAACAAGGCAATGTCCAAATCAAATCAAACATCAACAACAAAAGCCCATGTATAGTTCATTTAGATTAATGCTGAATACTGAATGATGGTTCTGAACTTGCTTAATGCAAACCATGCATTAATTATTAACATTGTGTAAAGTGAGTAAAATTCTACAGAACATTTAACCTACATAAATCTCCATTAGATATTTATACTCAAATCAAGTGTATTTTTCATTCTAAACATTTCCAATATCAGTGACCCCAGCAGCGCTTCTTCATTTTTGCTTATTTCCAATATCAAACTGTTTACTATGTTGATCTATTCAGTGCACTACTCAAAAGCTAAAATAATGAGAATCTTGTTGGAAATATCTATGAGATTACTTCAATTTAGTTCTAACGGCCATGTCATTGTGTCATTATGACAGGAATCAAAATTCTGTTGCTGAAATCCGAAGAGGGGGCACATAACCAAAATGGAAAACTGATCAAATCTTACTTAAAATCACTGGAAAGATAGTTACCTGCACAGTAAGCAGCCTGCACAGCATTGCAGAATAATGTTGGCCTGACAAACTCATAGACGGTATAGTTTCCTGGACATGCTTTGACTCGAATTGGGGTGGATCTGTAGTAACAACAGTCACTTCCTGACCTCCCACAGACTCCACGAGTGACTATTCCATCCTCTATCTGAGGGTGAGATCCATTCAGCCACAGAGCGACATCAGTACCACATCTGGATCGATTAGCACAGCTCTCTGGCATACGGATGTTCATCCCATTATACAGCAGCCGATACCAGCCATTCCAGTTGAAGCTGTTGTCACAGTAGGATCCTCCAGCTGCATTAGTGGCTCTCCAGGGTTGATCCAGCACAGTGTAGATATTGCAGGGATCATAGTTGGGAGAGTCCAAAGCAACTGTTATGAAAACAGATTAACGTAAAAAATTAGAAAATATCAACAGCAAATGTATCAATTATATGGATCATTCTGTCAAATATGTTCAAAGTCAGAGTTGAAAACACATTATTGACTTTTTACTGAATTGGACTTTAGGTATAGAGTCACTAGATTTTAGTCCTAAAGTTATTTTTTTTTAATAAGTGATTAAATATTCCAGTTTGTAACCACCAAAACCATCATAACGCCACTGAAACTTTACCAAATGTTTCAGTAGAGACTGTTTCAGCAAGGAACATTGATTTAGCTTATTTTGAGCAGGACTCAGATGCTAGTGCATGACTAGCAAACACAGCTTTGAACAGAGGTATACACAGAAAATCTAATATTTTTCATTAAAACATTAAAAAATATATTTGATTGGAAATGTGTTATCGCTACCATATAAAATAAGGAAACATGCATCCATGCCTCACATTACACAAACAGTAAAGTATGCTTGTTACCCTCATTGGTGAACTGACAAACATGTTACCACCAATTTATTTACTCTTAACCATATATTAAATCTGGCACTGCATTTTATGAATCTGGCCCATTGTGTTTTGGTAGTGACATGAAAACATGGATCATTCTCAGCACTGCAGTAACACTGACGTGGTGGTGGTGTGTTTGTGCGAGTTGTGCTGGTCTGAGTGGATCAGACACAGCAGTGCTGCTGGAGTTCATAAACACCAGACACACCTGTCACTGCTGGACTGAGAATAGTCCACCAACCAAAAATATCCAGCCAACAGCGTCCTGTGGGCAGCGTCCTGTGACTACTGATGAGGGACTAAAGGATGACCAACACAAACTGTGTCTAACAGAGTGGACAGTGAATGGACACAGTGTTTAAAAACTCCAGCAGCACTGCTGTGTCTGATCCACTCATACCAGCACAACACACATTAACACACCACCACCAGGTCAGTGTTACCGCAGTGCTGAGAATGACTTTTCTAAATATTGCATTTTGTATCTTTCCTTTTTTCTTGGTAATTTTGGTAAATTGCAATGTAAATAACACATTTCAGTATTATTCTTGCAACATTGTTGAACAAAATGTCAACAAAACTTTTTTTTTTAACAATATTCAATTTATATATTAATACTGATATGATATTAATAATCAGAATAATAATCACTTACCTGCACAGTATGTGGGCATTGGAATTGATACAGCTGGCTTGACGAGTCTGTAGATGTAGTAATTTCCTGGACAGGCTTTGACTTGGATTGGGTTTGATCTGTAGGAATTACATTGGCTGCTGTTGATCACATAGCCATATGATCCATAGATGTCTCGGGTGACGATGCCGTCCTGTGGTCGAGGATGAGATCCACCAAGTAAAAGTGCTGTGTAACCACCACAGGTCATGTAACTCGCACACCAATCAGATTCAGGAATCTGAGCACTTTTTCCCTGAAGATACAGTCGATACCAGCCGTTCCATTCGGTCAGGGTGTCGTCAAAACCACGGTAACCACTGTAGTAGAAACCATCTATTTTTCTCCAGCTATTATCAAGAACAGTAGAGACACTGCAGGGGTCAAAAGTTGTATTGTTTGGAGAGCCTGCTGAAGAAATAAGAAACAAATTTTTCTATGAAGAACCCACATTCTACTATGCCCCGAGTCAAGAGTGCCAGTACACTGGTAAACAAAGCAGCTGGTACACTCTTACAGGCATTTCTGCAAACAGTAGCTTGCTTAAAACATTCTTTAAACATTCTTTTTAAAAATTTGCTGATGATTTTAACTGTAGCTTGATTATCATTAATAATTCAGGCTGTACTGAGAGCAAAGTGTTCTTTTAAGTATTAGAATGGAGTTCCTAATTAAGTGACCTGTGAAGTTATGATACTTGTCATTGTACAGTACCGTGAAAAAGTATTTATCCCCATGCCAATTACTTCTACTTTTTGCATATGTGTCACACATGAATGTTTCAGATCATCAGACTACTTTTAATATTAGATAACCCAAGTAAACACAAAATTCTGTTTTAAATGATGATTTCATTTATCCACAAAAGGAGAAAACTTGGAACAGTGGTGAACCTTGCCAGGAGTAGCCAGCCAACTGAAATTTTACCAAGAGCACATCGACGACTAAATTTAGGAGGTCACAAACTGCAGGTCTCACTTGCCTCAGTTAAGGTCAACGTACACGATTCCACAATAAGAAAGACAGTTGAAAAAATGGCACCCATGGGAGTGTCGCAAGGTACAAACCGCTGCTGACTAAAAGGAACACAAAGGCTCATCTTGCATTTCCCAAAAACACTTCTAGCTGACCCCATGACAAGGACAATATTCTGTGGACCGACAAGTCAAAGGTGGAACTTTCTGGATGTCATGGGTCCCATCACATCTGATGTAAAGATAACATTACATAACAAATTACAAATAACAAATTACTTTTTCACGAGTGATATAGATTTTGACTAAATCTTTATCTTCAAAAAAATGAATGATTATTTAAAACCTGCATTTTGTGTTTACTCATGTTGTCTTTGTGAGACCTCTGGATCAAAATTGCTGAGAAGATTATCAGTAATTCATATTGTAACTTATTAGAACCTCGTGAGCATCCAATCGTCAGCAATAATGAGCCACAATTAGGCCTAATATAAACTTAGACAGGTTTAAGGTTATATAAGGTAGACAGCTTGTGGTAGCCACAGTTATTAGCCAGCAAGCTAGCATGGGGGCCCTCAAAAGGCTATAGCCAGCATTAAGAAGCTTTGATGTCTTTTATCAACTTTGTCATCTTTCACTGACATGTATTAGTTTAACATCCTTAGGATACATGTTTACTTGAAAAAATTGACTAAAAAAAATCAATTAAGCATTTAGAAGCTAAAATAGTAAGAGATCCATTGGAAACCTACTTGTGATATACTTGGTCCTGTCGGAGTCGTTGGGGCAGTGGTTGGAGTGATGGCATTTACATCTAGAAAAAGGACATATAAATACAAACATTAAGGCCTAATAACCAATAGCTGAAGGCTTTAAAAATAAATGCTTGTAAAAGTAGCAGAGTACCTGCACAATAAGCTGCACTACAAATAGTTGGTCGGACAAACTCATAGACGTAATAGTTTCCTGGACATGCTTTGACTCGAATTGGGATGACTCTGTAGTAACAACAGTCACTTCCTGAATTCCCACAGACCCCACGAGTGACTATTCCATCCTCTATCTGAGGGTGAGAACCATTCAGCCACAGAGTGTAATAAGTACCACATCTGGATACATCAACACAGCTCTCTGGCATACGGACATTCATCCCATTATACAGCAGGCGGTACCAGCCATTCCAGTTGAAGTTGCTGTCACAGATGTCCAGCCCAATTGCATTTGTGGCTCTCCAGGGTTGATCCAGAGATGTGTATTTAGTGCAGGGATCATAAGGGGGAGTATCGAATGCAACTGTCAAGAATACAATTAAAGAGGTATATTTTAGAAGTTTTGTATCATTATTACTATTGCATTTTATTATGTGTTTTAATATCTACTAATCAAGTTCTTATTTGGAGCACTCAGTGTTACATATAAAATGCGTAAAATCTTATACTGTTATATTTAAGTTAGCAATTAAATAAGTCAATTTAGTCTCGTCATAAAAGTATCAAAGTCTAATATGAGGGTTTGAGATAAAAAAATGTCTAAGGTCCACCATTTCAGCAAGAACATAGACCTACACCACTGTCATTCAAAAGAGCAGAGAAAGAAACTAGAAAAAAAAAAGTAAAATTCATAATGAAAAAAAAAGAGAAGAGAAATCAATTAAACGTTCATATAGTTACCATAGTAAACACACCATTTACAGTATTTTTACATTTTTTTTTTCATGAGAGTTTATTGGAGTCTCTTTTGCAATGCCACCATCTGAAGGTAAAATAACTATCAATCATCAATTGCCGTTTATCATTCATCATAAAACATAGAACACTGAACAACAGTGGTGTGCTTAGCAAGGTTGCATGGAAAAAGCCACTGCTCTCCAAAGAGAACATTGCTGCCCATGTGCAGTTTGCTGAAGATCACATGAACAAGCCAGAAGGCTATTGGAACAATGTTTTGTGGACAGATGAGACCAAAATAGATCTTTTTTGGTTTAAATGAGAAGTGTTATGTTTGGACAAAGGAAAACATTGCATTCAAGCATAAAGACCTTATCCCATCTGTGAAACACAGTGGCGGCAGTATCATGGTTTGGGCCTGTTTTGCCGCATCTGGGCCAGGACAGGGTACCATCATTGATGGAACAATTAACTCTGAATTATACCAGCAAATTCTAAAGGAAAATGTCAGGACATCTGTCTGTGAACTGAAACTCAACAGAACGTGGGTCATACAGCAAAACAATGACCCTAAGCACACATGTTGTTCTACCAAAGAATGGTTAAAGAAGAATAAAGTTAATGTTTTAGAATGGCCAAGTCAAGTTCTGACTTTAAACCTACAGAAATGTTGTGGAAGGAAACCTGTAACATGGTGACTAGCTTATCCAACATGAGGATTGAGCAAGCAATTCCTACATTAGTGATCTATGGGATAAGCCACAGACCAGGCAAGGAGACAGTAGAGACTCAAGAATGGAGGGGAAAGAAAGAGAAAAGCAAGACTGAAAGAACTCTGGACCCAAAAGAATACCTTTATCAGCTCTACAGAAATACATACAGGTGGCAGCATGAACTCAACCCTTAAATAGGGTGCCCACAGCTGTTATTGCTCAGCCCTAATTACTCTTTAGTGGTGCCTTGTCTCCCCCTAGTGGCTGGAGGTGGCCTAGCACAAAGCTGGGACATAACAGAAACCCACTAACATAACAGAGTTGAAGCTGTTCTGTACAGAGAAATGGACTAAAATTCCACCAATCTGATGTGCAGGACTAATCAACAGTTACCAGAAATGTTTAGCTGCAGTTTTTGCTGCACAAGGTGGGTACAACAGATACTGAAAGCAAAGGTTCAGATACTTTTGCCATTCACTTTTGTAATATTGGATCATTTCCCTCAATAAATGAATGATCATGTCTAATCCTTTTTTCTCATTTGTTTAATTTGGTTCTCTTTATCTACTATTAGGACTCGATTCTATGTCTATCACACAACATTTGTCATTCCTTTTCCGAATAAAAAAAGTCATTTCTTTGCTTTATAACACTGTTCATTTCATCTACACAAGTCACTGTGAAAAGACCGTATAGGAAACAGCAGACTTTACCTGCACAGTATGCGGCCATTGGAACTGATACAGCTGGCTTGACGAGTCTGTAGATGTAGTAATTTCCTGGGCAGGCTTTGACTTGGATTGGGTTTGATCTGTAGTAATAGCATTTTCTGCTATTAGTCACAGAGCCATAAGTTCCATAGACGTCTCGGGATGGCGATGCCATCCTGTGGTCGTGGATGAGATCCTCCGAGGAAAAGTGGTGTGTAGCCACCACACGCCACGTTACTCCAGCACCAGTCAGATTCAGGAATCTGAGCACTTTTTCCTTGAAGAAACAGACGATACCAGCCGCTCCAAGCAACAAGAGTGTCATCCTGACCAAGGTAGTTTGTATAGTAGTAACTGTCAGTTCTTCTCCAGTCATTATCAAGAACTCTAGAGACATTGCAGGGGTCAAAAGTGAGGTTATTGGGAGTGCCTGGAAAGAAACAAATGATAGCATCAGAAGTTTTAGAAACAAGTAATAATTCTATTAGAAAAAGATGACTGCTACTTGGGTCTACTGCAGGTGAAAGGCCAAACATTGACAGACATATTGACTTGTTTGCAACAGGTAAAACAAAAAGGCTTGGGGTCTTATTTTTTTTCTTCTGTGAGGTGTATTGATATATTATTTAAATAGATGCAAAGAAGACAAACAGGCAACATTTCCAAGTCAATAGTATGCTTCCCTAAATCCACAAGAATACACCCAGCATAAAAAAAAAAAAATCAAGCATCCCTAAAAGCTTGCTGTTAAAGAGTTACATAGGTTTATGATTTTGATAACATATTTATTAGAATTACTTTTTGATAAAATCTGCTACAATGGTATCCCATTGTCACTGTAATTGCCACTGTAAGCTAAAATATTGTTTACTTAAAATAAAATGCCATATAATGTTGACATACATTAATCACATGCAAACGTTTTCCATGCACTTTATACACACAGGAGGCAACATAACAGACTGAACTTTGAATGATGGCAGCAACAAAGGAAGATAAGTCCATAAACTCATAGGTCCGTGTGATGTGGCTATTTCACGACTACTTCACGTCCACATGGCACTCTGGGCGAGGAAAATCTCCCTATCAGCTGTGTTAGAGTTCCAGTGATCCTGAAGTGGCCAACCCCTATTGGTGTGTGCAAAGT